TGGCTCAGTGAGGCTCCTCCCTCTGGCTCAGTGAGGCTCCTCCCTCTCATGTGGAGTCTGCTGAGCTATGAAACAAAACCAGATCTGTGAAAAACTCTTCAATCTTTACAATTCTCTTATTCTTTACAAGAAAGTTTGTATAACCTCTGCAGTGTGGAGCTTCTCCTGCTGGCTGCTGGTTAGATTAGAACTCTGGCCATCGCTGCTGTCTGACCCACAGTCCTCACTGTCCCTGTCATCAGACCGTCTCTGCCCCCCCCTCTTTGTCCTCCCCTACCTTACTCGTCTTAGCCTCACTGCCTGTGTTTTGTTTCTTTTTTTTTCCTCTTAGTTGCAGATTTTGGCTTCCTCCTCCTCATCTCAGCCTCTTCCACCTGCTCCTCACCTGTAGTCTGTTCTCCAGCCGCCTGTACTTCTTCATGTACTTCTTCCTGTACTTCTCCCTGTACTTCTTCCTGTACTTCTCCCTGTACTTCTTCCTGTACTTCTCCCTGTTCTTCTCCCTGTACTTCTTCCTCTACTTCTTCCTGTACTTCTCCCTGTACTTCTTCCTGTACTTCTTCCTGTACTTCTTCCTGTTCTTCTCCCTGTACTTCTTCCTCTACTTCTTCCTGTACTTCTCCCTGTACTTCTTCCTGTACTTCTCCCTGTACTTCTTCCTGTACTTCTCCCTCTACTTCTTCCTGTACTTCTTCCTCTACTTCTCCCTGTACTTCTTCATCTACTTCTTCATCTACTTCTTCCTCTACTTCTTCCTGTACTTCTCCCTGTACTTCTTCCTGTACTTCTCCCTGTACTTCTTCCTGTACTTCTCCCTCTACTTCTTCCTGTACTTCTTCCTGTACTTCTTCCTCTACTTCTCCATCTACTTCTTCCTGTACTTCTCCCTCTACTTCTCCCTCTACTTCTTCCTCTACTTCTTCCTGTACTTCTTCCTCTACTTCTCCCTGTACTTCTTCCTCTACTTCTTCCTCTACTTCTTCATCTACTTCTTCCTGTTCTTCCTGTACTTCTCCCTCTACTTCTTCCTGTACTTCTTCCTCTACTTCTTCCTCTACTTCTTCATGTACTTCTCCCTGTACTTCTTCCTGTAATTCCTGTACTTCTCCCTGTACTTCTTCCTATACTTCTTCCTATACTTCTTCCTGTACTTCTTCCTGTACTTCTTGCTGTACTTCTCCCTGTACTTCTCCCTGTACTTCTCCCTGTTTGTCTTCCTGTACTTCTCCCTGTACTTCTTCCTGTTCTTCCTGTACTTCTTCCTGTTCTTCCTGTACTTCTTCCTGTTCTTCCTGTACTTCTTCCTGTTCTTCCTGTACTTCTTCCTGTTCTTCTCCCTCTACTTCTTCCTGTACTTCTTCCTGTACTTCTTCCTGTACTTCTCCCTGTACTTCTTCCTGCACTTCTTCCTGTACTTCTTCCTGTTCTTCCTGTACTTCTTCCTGTACTTCTTCCTGTATGTCTTCCTGTACTTCTCCCTGTACTCCTTCCTGTACTTCTTCCTGTACTTATTCCACCTTACCTGACTCCTGTGTTCCACTAACCTGCTCAGTGATGTCTACAGGTTTCTCACTACTACTGCTGCTTTCACCCGTTTCCTTTCCTTCTCCTCCATCCTCACCTCCTCCCACCTTACCCAAAGCCTCTCCCTCACTGTGCTGGACACCATCACTCACACCGTGCACAGCAGCGGCACGGCGCGGTCCGCGGCACCGCAATGGGCCACTTAGATGCCGCGGCAAAGACACCTCCTGCTGCGAGCCCGGCCGGGATCTGCGGGGTCCCCACTCCCTTGCGGTCCCGCCACAGCGCCGAGTGCCACACCCGGGTCAGGTGGAGCCGGGTCCCCCGCCTCGGACAGGCCCTCACGGTATGCCCCTCCTCACCGCAACCGGAACATTTCATCGCCGACGATGTTGTGAAAATCACGTAATCACGCACACACACACACACACACACACACACACACACACACACACACACACACATAAGATCATAATGAATAGATACTAGTTATTATACAGTAGTTCATATATATAATGATGTATGTATAATAATGAATATATAATATATCATAATTACACGGAGCTCTTTGTTGTGTCGGCTGGTTTATTTTATGGAAATGTTTCACTTTAAAATCTGTTGATTTCCGGAACAATTAGAAAATATTCTACAAAATGTTATTTTGATCTCAGATTATTTACAATTATACTTTTAAGTGATAATTGAATTCACATCATGAGTGAAAATATGACAAAACTACCATATGTTTGTGTTTAATACGAGCTGAACTACCTGTATACAGGTAGTATTAATACCTGTATACAGGTAGTATTAGTAGCTGTATTCATGTAGTATTAATACCTGTATACAGGTAGTATTAGTAGCTGTATTCATGTAGTATTAATACCTGTATACAAGTATTAATATCTGCAGGTAGTATTAGTAGCTGTATTCATGTAGTATTAATACCTGTATACAAGTATTAATATCTGCAGGTAGTATTAATACTTGTATACAGGTAGTATTAATACCTGTTTTCAAGTAGTATTAGTAGCTGTATTCATGTAGTATTTATACTTGTATACAGGTAGTATTAATACTTGTATACAGGTAGTATTAGTAGCTGTATTCATGTAGTATTAATACTTGTATACAGGTAGTATTAATACCTGTATACAAGTAGTATTAGTAGCTGTATACAGGTAGTATTAATACTTGTATACAGGTAGTATTAATACCTGTATACAAGTAGTATTAGTAGCTGTATACAGGTAGTATTAATACCTGTATACAAGTAGTATTAGTAGCTGTATACAGGTAGTATTAATACTTGAATACAGTGAAACATTTAAGGCTTTTCATGTTGAGAATAAATTAATTTCTGTTTACATTCATCTACGTTACATTGTTTTTATATATATATAATATATATTTTTCTTATATTTGACATGAAAACGTTGCTTCATATCGATGAAGAACAAGAGAGGAAGACGAAGGTGAAGACGAAGGTGAAGCTTAATGATGGTAAATAAACTGTAAACACACAAACACAAAGGCTGCTGGGAAATCAGAGCGGCTCGGGTTAAACGCTGAAAACTCACTGAAGCTTTTAGTGTTTCACCTCCGACACACACAAACACACACACACACACACACGGATACACACACACACACACACACACACACACACACACACACACACACACA